GGTCATAGATCCTCAGCAAGAGAAAAGTACAGGGAAGGCCAAGAAAAGTACAGGCCAAACTCATGCTGTCAGAAATATTGAGATGTCTGTGTTTGTAGAAATCAGGGCAGATTTTGCGATCAACCCCCAGAGGAAAAAGCGTATACCTCTAAGTTATTAAGAGCCACCACATGGAAAAAGCTCAAAATTCAAGGTGGCCTGCCTGTGGCAATGGCACTTTAGTCTCCTGCATGTTCAAGTCCACACTAGCAGCCACAGGAGACTTGGCCTCCTCTTCAACTGTTCTCTTCCTCCAAGGCATGCAGTTCACACACACACAGTCCTGCCCTTTCAGGGGCTCCAAGGGCTCTGACGGGCCTCCATCAGGTTCCCAGACTTGCAGAAGTGAAAGAGAAGGCAGGAGGCATCCTTTTCTACAGAAGCTGAGATGCAAGTAAATCTTTTGGGGAACTCAAGAGAATTTCTGGGACAAAAAGATCTCTACTCTTTCAAGCGGAGGCTTTGTCTATAAGATGAGGGTATAGAAGAGTGAAAAAGTCATGTCCAGAAAGGGTGAAGAGGCATCAAAACAGAGACCCTCAGCTGTCCCAGAAAAAAGTTCAAAACCAGTGCTATTCAGGATATGGCCCATCAACTGCTTAACACCAATCCACCGCCACATACACACAAGAACCAAGAGGAAGCCTTTAGGAACCATTAGAGCAATTTAAAGCCACCATGACATCCAAGGGCATGATCACTAGGGTCGTCTTACTTTGGATGGTGCTGGGCCACACAGGCAGCGAGCTGCAAACTCGCTGTACAAAGTGGGACCATGTTTGGTTTTGTTATCTTTTGGGAACACTGCAAAAACAAACCAAACCACAAAAACTGGTCCTTCCCCAGATTTAGTCTGAGAAAGAATTAACTTTGGAAGGCAACCCCCTCACTTTATACAGAAAGCTGAAGTCCAAAGACAATGAGTGACCTCCCCATGGCTAATGACAGAACTCAAGAGTAGGAGTAGAAAACAGGGAGGAAGGAAACTAACAATTGCACTTCTCACCCTCCTCCTCTCAGCCAGTGGGTCTCACTGAAGCCCCCTGAAGCAGTAAGGGCTGCAGGATCCACACTCTTAATGAGTCCAAGGCAATTTCAGGTTCATGGTAGATTGCTCAGGCACAGTATTTCCATCCAGCTTTCTGACTCTCAAACCCAACGCATCTAACGCCAACACGTGCCTTTCAAAACTAAGCTCCCTTCCCAGCTAGTCCATTTCTGACCCCACTGCCCTCCTCTGTCATTGCTAGATCCAGGAAACACTGACTTATTGAAAACAAACTTGGCATGTTGATTCTTCCTTCAAAGTCCCTTGAGGTTCTCTGAGCCAGAGAGAAAGCAAATGTAAAGTGCTGGGTGCATCTGGGGTGAGGATTCTGTCTGCCATGTGCGAGTTCACAGCCCCAAACACAATGTTGAAGTCAAAAGCATTCAATATATAAAACACAAAAGCTGCCACTGCTAGCTTTCCCACTCAAGAGTTATAATTTTAGGTATTAATAGTTTAGTCAATGTCTTTTACTTCCAATAGTTTCATGAGAATCAAATAACAATGATTTATCTTATTTTTCAGGACCTAATGTTGTACCTAGAACATGATAAACGCTTAGTGGATGCTGAAAGACAAAGGGAAGAAGAAAGGGGGAGAAACTAGACAGGGATGGGGGTCACAGTCCTAGATAGTACAATAATCTACAGATTTTAATCATTCAAGCTTTCCTTGCCTCCTATTTGCCTAAAAGCTTCCTAATCTAGCTCCTTCTCCAAAGCTGTGGAGAGGCTGAGAACAAGGGGGAGTCCTCAGCTAACTGCCAGATGCCCGGGTGTGAGAGGAAATGAGGCTGAAAGCCCAAGAGGTCAAGGGTAGGAAAGAGACGACTTAAGAGGATTGGGAGACCCAAAAGCTGAGCCAAACTATAGCCCCTCCCATACTCCCTGCCCCCACCCCCATCTAGCCAAACCATTTGCTGCAGCCTCCAGGGCATGGGAGGGGACTTGGCAAGACCACAAAGCCCAGTTCTAGCAGAAACCTCCATCTGCAGCTGGAGGGAGCCCAGTGCCCAGGCCCCTCCACACCAGGCCCAGCTAACGGGCTGCAGTCATCCTCATAGTGGTCCCTGAGTGCAGCTCCAGGGCCCCTGCACCACTTTGGACAGAAGGGCTCTCCCGTCAGTTCACTCATGTGTATATCTTGCAAGACTCTCTCCCTCTCCCATGACATTCAAAAAGGGTGAGCGTCACCAAGGAGATATAGCTAAGCTTTAGACTCCAACTCCAGCTCTTATCATAGATGGAGAAAGCCCCCTCTTTCTCTCCATCCTCAAACTCAACTCTGAAAATCTCTTGCTTAGTTCCTTCGCTGCTCTAGCTTGACATGCTCACCTGCTTCCACATCTCCCCAAGCTGGCTGCTGATTGTAAACATACCCAAGAGAGAAGGGGTGGGAAACAGGAAGGGAGGAGCAAGCAAGAAACAACTAGTGGGAAGGACCAACAGTGTATAGAAAGTTGAGGATCACAGATCCTTGACAACAGGTCATTTTTTGCAGTGGTCAAAAGGAGAGACAGAAGGCAGAGATCCTGGGCACAAGCCCAAAATAGTTTCCAGACATCCTCAGCCAGTCAAGGGTTCCCATGGGGCAGAGTGTGGGAGCCGCGTGGGAGCCTTGAAAACAGGGTAGCCCGGTGTTCTCGGCACTGGGCACTCACTCCTCTCCAGGCTGCCAGGGAGGAGGTGGCAGCAACAGTGTCTGCTATAGCACGTTCCTTGGGATATCATGGGTGGACATGTAATACACCAAACAATAAAACATCAACTTGCATTTATCAAGCTTAACTCTGTGCCTATGCTAGGCACTACGTAGACTGATACATACATCATAGATATTCTTGAAACCCTGGCAGGACTCAGCGCACAGTATATGTGTCTATTCCCACTGGCTGCTAGATACCATTCTCCCATGGGACCTCCTCAACCAGCACCCATCTCATGGGAACACAGGTGGTGACACCCCCCTTTGTCTTGTGTTCCCAAGTCTTGGTCTGATCTCATACCAGTCCAAAACAAGCTCACACATCAAACATATCCTTCTTACATCACAACCTGATAATGGAAGAGCCTCTGGCAAAACTGCCTCTCCCTGGGTATGCGGGACGCTGTAGCCAACTGGCCACCTAAGGAAACTCTATGAGGTGAGGTGGCACTAGGGACAGAAGACTTAGAAGTGAGTGTTTGCTGGCAGTGCCCGAGCCACATATTGTTTCTCAGACAGACAACTGAACAATAAAAACAAGCATAGATACAATCTCAGAGTTTTAAAAACTCAGCCGGTTCAGGCCCTACTCTGAAAAGGGGGAAGAGGGAAGACTTGTTAGGAGGGCTTCCTCTGGATTTTCAAGTAGTCCTTGCCACACGGCCACAACACTAAGGGCTGGGGTATTAGGCTGGGAGCCTCCAGCAGGACTGCGGAAAACCAGCCACCATCTGGAGCCAGCTGAATGCAGGCAGGGAGACACAGAGAACACACTTGGAAAGAGCTGAGGAGAAGCGGGTCTGCCAGGGAGCCATCACTACAGTGGGAGGGGGTGCTTTTGGGAGTAAACAAACCTGCCAGCCCGTCCTTTTTCCCAGCACAGAGGGAAGCTCTAGGCTGACAAGGCTGGAGATACAGAGGAGGGAGGGGGCTGCCCCCTCCCTGAGTCCATCTGTCCTCATCCCCTTGGCCTGCTTTCCCCAGGCTGGGAGAGAGAGCAGGTCTGTTCCATGATCTGTGCCCACACCCCTGCAACAGCACATGAGGTGATTACAACTCCTCCAGCCAGCAGTAGGAGGCCAGGGGAGGAAGCGGAGGTGGAACCTGGAGGTTCTGCTCCAGAGAAGAGCGTGGAAGAGTATGTAGTGAGAGCCAGCATGAGGTGAGCTCAGCTCTCTCCTCCCTACTCACAGTATCAGCTGTACCAATTGCCCTCTGTTGCCTTCGAGTCTCCCACCGCCTCATCCCAGGTGATCACCCACTACTCCCAGTCTCAACAAAACACACCCACTCGACAGGGGAGCCAATGCCACCTGGCTCCTCCTTCCCAGGAGCTGCTCCAGAAGCAAAATTCACACCCTTCCCCAGGCACTTCCTTGCCTCAAGTTCCTTGGGACAAATCCAGGGAACTATCCAGGCCTCCTGATCCACCCTGCAGCCTTGTCCAGAAGCCCCTATCTCCCACGTGGGAAGCAGAGCCCCTATCTCCCACGTGGGAAGAAGAGTCCCTCCCTGCCAGCATCCCTATCCAGTCAGTGAGGTGGCAGGATGCCGCTTCCAGCACCTCCACGGAGCTTCCCACAGCTTTCCCAGGAGGCGGGAGGAGAATTTCCAGGGAGGAGACTAAGAGCATCTGGGGACACTAGCAGCTCACCCACCTGCTACCCAAGCAACCAAGATCCCCAGCTCCCCGAAGACTCCTGTGGTTGAGGGGGCAGTGGGCTGAGGCAGGGCAGAAATGGGCTTCCTCTCTGCTAGGAAGTCCCATAAGCCCTGCCCCTGCCCACCTGTCCCCACACTCCTTCCCAGCCTCTCCCTTCTTGGACTTGAGAGGCAGCTACGCGGAGCCCTTTCCAATCTGTTTTCTCTGCCCTGGGCCAGCAGAGGATACTGCTGAGTAATCCCAAACTCACAGTGGCTCCTCAGCCCTGAAAAAGGGGACAAGCTCAAGGAAACCTACTGATCTGGTCCATGCCAATCTGGGAGGAATATCTGGGAGGTTTCCTAGCAATGGCTGATACTCCACTGGACTCTCCCCTCCCCTGCCCCAAATACCCAAGCTTCCCCCCTCCCTGCGCCCCAGACAACCACAAGGGGAAGTTCAGTGCCCCCTTCTCGGCTTCCCACGCACCTGGGAACACTCTCTTCCCAGTCCCCTAGACACCAAGCCACACAGAGTAACAGTAGACGCCCGACGGATTCCCAGTCATGATGTTGCATCAGCCCCCACCCTACCCAAAATATCCTCACCCCCACCACCTCCTCTCCTCTCCAGTCATCTCCATGGTGACAGCAGCATGACTAATGACACCCTATCAGCTTCAGACTCAGGAGCGCATTTCTCCCTCCCCCTTACGCCCCCCCCCCCCCCCCCCCCCCGGGATTTCTGCAGATTGGATGCAAACCAACAGTGCCAGGGACATTCTCGAGAGATTTCCAGAGGCAGGGGTGGGGAGTGGGTTGCATGTCTTAAAAAAACAAAACAGTTCAACAAACCAAACCCCAAACCCCAACTGCACCCAAAACCATCCAGCTGAGAAAGCAAAAAGAATCCAAACAAAACCCACACAGGCCTGAGAATTCATTGGCCGCCCACACCCCCGCCGCCCCTCCCCCTCAGCTGCTGCTACACACACAGTGGGAGATTAAGGGATCACCAGAGGAGACCCTTTATTTTTATCCAATCCGGTCAAACACTTCACCGCCACCACACACACGCGCACACACACGCACGCACACACACAAGGTACCTTGACAGCCGCTCCTTGTCCCCACGGCCCGGCTCCTTCACCAGCCTTTATTTCCACCTGCAAAAGAAGCCAGAGGGACGTGTGAGCCAGGCGAGTACTGGGAAGGTAGCAAAGTCCTCCTGCTACAGCCCCCAGCCTCGCCGGAGGGGAAGGAGGTGAGCGGGAGGGGAGGCAGCCGGGGCAAGAAAGGCTATCGGGGACCATCTTCCTGCCTCCAGCTGCCGCCCAGATCACGGCAGACGGACTCCCTCACCTTCCAGTGTGTTTTTGTTTTCATTTCTCCTCTGAGAAGCCCCCCAAGATCTGGGAGGCCGCCGCCCCCCCCCGACCTCCCGCCCGCGTCCGCCCGGCTGTCCCCGGCCCCGCGCGCTCTACCTCGGCCGGCCTCCTCTGGTGCATCGGCCGGCGGGCCTCCCATTATCCCCGCCGGAGGGAGCGCACGGAGGGAGGCACTGCAGAGGAGGCGGCGGCCAGCTGCCGGCTGCGCTCCCCTCCCCGCCGCGGGGCTGGTGTGCGAGGGGGGCGGCGCGCTCGCCAGCCAATCCCCGCGGCCGGCCCTGCCCCCGCCCGGTGGACCTGCCCAGCCAGGAGGCGGGGGCGCCACCGAGGGTGCTGCTGAGCCGCGCTGGCAGCTTCCCAGGCCCGCCGCGCCGCTCCCCGGCAAGCTGGGGCATCCCAGGGCACCCCCGGCCTCCTCCCGCGGGGACCCCGAAGGTAATACCCAGAAGGCGTCCTCTGCGCCTCCAGGGTCAGAGATGACAGACTGCGCCTCCGGGCGGGGCAGAGCGGAGCGCAGCGGAGCAGACGCTGGGGGGATTCCCGCTCCGCCACTCTCTAACCCCAGCAACATCCTGGCAGCAGCTAGGACAGCACCAAAGCCTGTGACAAGGGCGTGAGGTGCAACAGCTCCTTCATCCTCAAAGAAGAAAAACCTAGGCAGCACGAACCTTTACTCCATTCTGCAGATGAGGAGATACAATAAGTGAAACAACTTACCCAAGGTGACGACGCAGCTAGGAAACAGCAGAGCCAGGACTCCGAGCCAGGTCTGTCGGCTCTGAAGACCATACTCTTAACAGCTATGCAGCTCTCCTCCTCCCTGCTCCAGCGCCCACCTCAGAAAACAGGCTCCTCGGAGCCCAAACCTCCTGTGTCAACCCTGCCTTCCTCCACACGCACAAACACCCACACCTCACTCTAGGATCACCCCCTACCCCCGCCAGAACATACCTACCCAAGACAGCCCCCCCCCACCACCCCACGATGAGTTCTCCACTCCTGGAGAGGCTACAGGAGGTACCCCCTAAGACCCCAAGGGCCCCCAGACCTCAGGGCTTCCCATCTCCAAGAAAGGCAGAGGAGGGGAGGTAGCCGAGACCCCAAGAGCTCTGCCCTTCCAGTTTCCAGACTCAGCCTTTGAAAGCTGCACCAGGAGGCTGAAAGTGGGGCCAGATGATAAGGGGAGAGGAGGGCCCTGCAATCTACTCCTGGATTTACTTCCTGGGCCACCGGGGGCTATTTGTTCTCTACCCCAATCCCTCCCTGTAGCTGAACACCCCCAAGCTTCTGCCTCCCAGGAAGGTGACTTCCACACTTTGGTAGCCACAAACTCCAGGCTCTACCACTACCTAGCTGGTTGTAACTTACCTCTCGTAGCCTCTCTTTGCTCATCTATAAAACTGAACTACAAATAGCAGCTACCACATCCAGTTTTGAGTATTCACTGCAAGTGAATCAATTTCCAGAAGAGCTCACTGGGTGCTCCTTCTCATTCTCACAGATGAATAAGCTGAGGTCAGGGGGAAGTGACTCACAGGATTCATTAGGATGTGCGACAGCCCCTGACCCAGTGATTCGCTCTCCTACCCACTCCACCACAGATGCTTGTTGTCCCCTCCCTGGGGGCTCAAAGTGGGTACTCAAAACAGGATAAGCTGCCTTTAGAGAGACAGCAAAGCTGGCCATCCAGTGAGGAGACTCCAGGAGGCATCAGGGCCCACGCCTGCCTCCCCCTGGGAACAAAGGGCAGCCCTCCTGGGCTCCTCCCAGGGTGGGGAGGAAGGCAGGTGGCAAAGCATGGCAAGAAACAGTGTCCTAAACATGGCTCAGGTCAAACAATGGGTTTCTGTGCCCCTCAACTTTGACAATGACCAGGCCAAGTGGGGTCCCTCCTTTAACATGGTCCCTAAAACCCCTGCCCTCCCACCCACCCCACAGTCTGCTGCTGGATAGGAGAGACAAACACTGCTTGGACAGTAACAATTAGCACAGTTGCTGCAGCGGCTGCCACAGTTTATCAAGCCCCTGCTACGTGCCAGGCCCTGTGCCAACCACATTGTCGGATCATCTTATTTGACTTACTCCACATACAACCTCACCTCTAACACGGCAATGGAAGGACTTCGCGATGTTAACTTACTCGCCTGTCAACACAGCTGGTGAGTGGTGGGCTGGAATTCAAATCTAGGTTCTTCTCTTTCCAATTCGCTAAGCTCTGTCTGTCTCTGCCAACTCCAGTGAGATACAAAGAAGACTGAGGTCACTTAAACCTGATCTCTTCCCTTTACGTCCTGGATCTAGTAATGTTTTCATGCCTCAGAGACTTCCCAGTGCTGCTCCTTCTGCCTGGATCCCTCTCCACCTCCCCGACCTGGCAAGCTAATATGGTACAAGGCTCAGTCCAAACACTGCCAGCTTCTCAGATCACCAAGCTCCCATGAGCATCATCCGCTCCTCCCGGGTCCTGACAGAGCAGTGTACTGCCTCATCCAGGGCACCAGTCACAGTGAGGCACCGTTATTTATTTATACGGCAGTCCTCCCCACGTGGGCGGGGGCCCTGTCTTCCCTACTTTCCTAGGCTCTGCACAGAACTGGAATGTGCTGAGCCAAGTTTCTGCACAAGGAGGGTGGAGAGGCAGGGGGCTGGGCCCTGAGATGTGGAGTCCCCTCTCCTGGTCGGCCTTCTCCCCGAGGTCTTCAAGGATCTGAGGGACACCTGCTGTCCTGGGAGTGCAGGACCTGCCAGAACTCAACTGTGATCTCCCAGACTTTCTCAATCAGCACCTATCTTCCTCAGCCGCCTGAAGGAGCCACAGAGCCAAGTTCCCACCCCAACTCCTGGCTCCACTCATCTCCCCATGGTAATTCAGCCCTACCCCAAACACATGTCCCACCCTGCCCTCCAGCAGCCCTTGGCTACACCAGAGGAGGAGCCCATAGTTCCCCAGGTGGTCCACCTGCTCCCAACCTCATCTCACCCTGGCCTCATTCCCTCTTCTGAGGTTCGTGGAATGCTGGGGGTTCAAGGGAGTCACAGAGGTGCATGCCAGACCACTCTGCCTCCAGCTGGTACGCTCTCCACTCCCCTCTTGATCCTCCTCCTATCTCTACCTGTCCCCTTTTCTAAACTTTGTACTTCACAGTGACCATTTGCAGATACTTGGAACCCCTCTGCATGGGGCCAAGGGCCTCTCCCCTCCCCACCTTCCATTACAACCCCCAGACCCTACTGTGCTCCCAGCAGGAAGAACGGGGCCACAGACCTCCCCAATGGAGAGATGAATGGATTCACTCACTTCCAGGACACATAAAATGCCCTAACACTGAGAACCTCAGGAACATGGATACCCACAGGCCGGATTCCACACAGATATTCAAAGACCAAGGAGCACAGACACAACCAGACACATTCTTGGGGACATTTGCAAGAAATCAACCAAGCACCAGCCCTATGTCAGGCCTCACACCTAGAACATGATATACTACATCTGTTTTTGTTTTTTGTTTGTTTTTTTTCAATAGAGATGGGGTTTTACCACGTTGGACAGGTTGGTCTCAAACTCCTGACCTCAAGCAATCCACCCGCCTCGGCCTCCCAAAGTGCTGGGATTACAGGTGTGAGCCACTGCGCTTGGCGATATACTGCATCTTATTTAACTCTCTAAACAAGCCAATGAGACAGGAAATATTTGTGCCCATTTTACAGATGAAGAATTGGAATACAGAGAGGCTAGGAATCTTCCCCAAGGTCACACAGCCAGAAAATGAATGGACAGGGTTCTTGCCACCCCATCACTTGCAGCAGCACAGCCAAGGCTGCTCTGTGTCGCTCTATGATTTTCATATCCACCTACCTCTTCTAGAGCTGGGAGAGGGTAGAGGGAGACAGGCTTCTCATCCTCCCTCACCATGGCTGTGTCCTGAATGAGGTCACTCTTCACAGGGCTTTAGTTCAAAGCTCAGTTTAAGCCCTGCTTCCTCCAGGAAACCTTCTCTGATTATACCAGTCTTCTGCCAACCGATAGCACTTCTAACATTTCTCATCTGACTCTTGGTACTGTTATTTGTCTCTCTGTGTGTCCTGTATCCCCAACCAGAATGACTGGAGTCGTGCCTCTCCAAAGCCTCTGCAGGGCTGTGCCTATATTCCACACACTGAAGGCACTTGGAATTGACTATGAGAGAAGTCTGTGACCTCCTTTTCTCTCCATCACACAAAGGATCCTGCCAAAAAAAACCCCAACACCCCCTCCACCTTCAGAGCCTATGTTTGAAGTCCCCGGTGTCCACGCATCAATTTCCACCCAAGTAATTGCCGCCCATCACACACACATCATCCCCTATATTTGAAACTCTTTGCGGTTGCCATGGGAACTGCCTTTGCCTTCATTCACTGATCAGGCCTCACAATTAGCTTTGGCAGCGGAAGTCTGTGTCAACGACAATCACAGGGGGGAGGAGGAGGCTGAGGAGGAGGAGCAGCAGCAGCAGCAACAGAAGAAGAAAAGATGCTCCTCTCCTTGGAGATGCGGCAGAACCAGACTGAACCAAGGCACCCAGCAACACTCAAAGGAAACAAGTCAGAGCCAGCCAACAACTCCATCGTCGTGCTTCTGTACCAACAAACAGCATGCATCCAGGACCTCCCAGGCTGACAGGTAGCAGCTGACACTCTGCCTACATCCTACATGCCCTTCAAGATGCCTGTGGAAAGATCTTATAGTCTGTGAACCCCGTCAGGGTCTCCTTGACCCAAATTCAACAGCCTTGGACCAC